CCACCGCGCCTCGCGGAGTCCCTCGCTGAAACGTTCTTAAAGGGGCCCTGGGACACACAAAGAAACACACACACAAACAAATCCCAGGATTCCCCATAGTCCCACCAACCCTCTGGGCGTCGGTGGTTTAGGGAGTTTCCTCTTCCACCCCTCCTTCTTCCCCTTCGGGGAGGGGTTTACCCCTCACCCTACCCCCTCCCCATGGACCTGGACAAGGGGTTTCGCGAGGTGTCGGAGCGTCCGAAACGGCCTCGGCGAGGAAGCCAAAATCATTGGTTTTACTAGGTTTTGGGCCCCATGTTGGCCTCCTGAGGGGGGGACCCTGATTAATGCCCCCCCTCCTCTGATCGATCTTACCCAAGATGGCCCAAAGATGGCCCCCAAGGCTCCCAAGGGGGCCCCAAGAGGGCCCCAAGAGGTGGCCAGGAAGCCCCAAGAGGCCCCCAGGATGCCCCCAAGAGGCTCCCAAGAGACCCCCAAGAGGCCCCAAGAGACCCCCCAGAGGCACCCAAGATGCTCCAAGAGGCCTCGGCGAGAATACCAAATCATTGATTTACTAAGGTTTTAGCCACATGTTGGCCTCTTGGGGGAGGGCACTGATTAAGATGACTCCAAGAGCGCCTGGGAGAGCCCAGGATGACCTCCAAGATGGCTCAAGATATCCCAAGATGTCTCATAATGGCTCCCACGATGCTCCAAGATGCCCCAAGACCGCTCCAAGACGGCTCCCAGTGGCCAAAGAGCTCCCCCAGGAGGCCCCGAAGAGGCCAAAACCTGAGGAAATTATACGTGATTGGCTGTCTCGTCTGTTCCCTTCCAATGGCCATCCGAGGCCTCAAGATGGCTCCAAGATGGCCCAAGAGGGCTCCAAGAAAGGCTCCAGAGAGCCCCAAGACGGCCTCAAGAGCGCCTAAGAGCGCCCCAAGAGCGCCCCAAGAGCGCCCCAAGAGGCGATTGTTTGGGCTCCCGAGGGGCAACGCTAACTAATGCTCACTTCTTGTTTGATCGATGTCCCCCAAGATGGCCCCAAGAGCGCTCCCAAGGCTCCCAAGAGCGCTTCAAGAGGGCTCCAAGGGGAGCCCAGGAGGCCCCAACAGGCGCCCAAGAGGCCTCCAAGATGCTCCCAAGAGGCCCCCAAGAGGCCCCAAGAAGCTCTCCGAGGCACCCAAGACGCTCCAAGAGGCCTCCACTGGGGGACCCTTCCTCTGTGTGCTGCCCACTTCCCTGATCGAGGCAATTCCTCTGGGCATCGTTTCTAGATGGGCTGGTGGGTTTCCCATACGTTCTGGGTTAAACTTTCTGCTGGGTTGGGCACATCCGCGCCGCACCCCGACTGCAGCGGCAGCTCCCTCCCTGGGCTGCCCCGGGCGAGCAGGTGAGCGCCCAGGGCTGACGTGCCTGCCGGCCGAACACTCCCGGTCTGGCTGCCCTCTGCCCATGGACTCGGATCGGAAAAGGGCGACACTGAACGACCTGCTCCGTGAATAGCCCCGCTCTCGACGACCAACCCCTAGAGTTGTGGATGCCACGACAATGATCACCCTGACAGTCCTATCATTGAACTTAAGATGTGTCTAAAATGTCGGGAAAATGTTCTAAACATGTATTATCCATGATCTTACATGTTTGGAACATGCTTCACACATGTTTTAGATATCTGGACAGTATTTGGCAACATGCTTCCTCTGCATTGATCGTCGTCCACAACCCTGGAAGGGATAACCCCAACCAGATTGCTCCCCCAAGCAGGACACCCGTGGTGCAGCGCGACGGTCCAAGACCCGCAGAGTCCCCTCCTGAGCTCGTGCTGCACCTGGCGCCCGGCAGAGCGCGCGCAGCGAGCGCGCTGCGCACCGCCCCTCCCGCCCGAGGGCACGATTTTGTTTAAGCTCTCCATAGGGCGAAGAATGGCTGGTATGTTCCGAAGGCCGCGCGCGCCGAGACCGTGTTCTCGCCCGCGCCCGGCCACCAGCAGAGAGGCAGGGATCGGAGAGCGCCAGCTGCCCACCCACGCCGACCCCGTGGACGCCCGAGGCGGGGGCAGCAAACGTGGAAACGAGGCCCAACCACGAGCGTTGTCCCAAACCGACAGCGACCGCTGCTGGGCAGGCGCGTCTCGGCACAATCGGACGGCACCCGCGGCGATAATTACGACGAATCCCCCTCAAGATGGACAGGGACTACCGTCGGTACCCGTCCTCGTTCTGTTCGTCACAATGTCGGTCCTTCTGAGGTCCTGCGTATCCAGCACCCGCCCCAGAACGCCATGGCACAGGGGCACATGCGCGGATGAGGGGGGGTGGCCAGGGCACGCATTGAAAAAGAAGAGAGGGCCATGGAATCTGGTAGATTTCCACCGTCACAGCAATGATATCCTCACGCACGCACGCACGCACGCACGCACGCACACGCACGCACGCACGCACGCTCGCACGCACGCCCGCACGCCCGCACGCACGCACGCACGCACGCACGCACGCACACCCATACCCGTCGCACAAGCCCCGACGCTCCCCTTCCCCGACATCCGACGATGTGATCTTCCGCGGCCCGAGCTCCGTCTCGGATCGGGGATCTTCTGACCCGGGTCAATCCAGACCCGGGTCAGCAGGAAACCAAAAACTGTAATGCAGGAACAAAAAAACGCATCGCTGACCTTCGCAAACCCGGGTCAGCCAATACGCGCGGCCGCCTCGCGGCCACGAGCAGCTCGCTAACCCGGGTCAGCCAGAGGGGGTCTTCGCAGGATCCTGCAGGATCTGGCGCCCTGGCTGACCCCCGTTTGCATTGACCCTCGTCTCGAGGCTCCCGATCGGATCCCTGCTCGAGGGCCCCGGGCCCCCCACATCGGCAACCCCCGAGGGCCGCCACCCGAGCACGACGCCCGGACCGACCAGGGCCTCGGCGGGGCGCCCCCCGACGCCCCCGAAGCCCTCGCGCGGCCAGCCACCCGCCCAGAGAGGCCCCGCCCCCTCGCCCCGGGAGGACGGGCCCGGGCTCCGTCCGAGGTGGGAGGGCACCAGCGATGCACCAGCACCGATCCTGGCCAGGAGCACCCTGGGCCCAGGATCGGTGCATGCGCCCTCCTGCCTGGGGCAGGAAGGCATGTATATATACACCGATCCTGGGCCCAGGACTGGCGCCTGGCCAAGATCGGTGTTGGTGTATAGTTGGTGCCCTCCGACGAGAGGACAGCTGACACTCTCCGCAGGGAGAGGGGGGGGCGGGGGCGAGAGACGCACGGCGGCGCCAGCGCGTGGGGAGAGCGGAGTGTGTAGAGCACGGGGCCAGGACTCGGGCACAACTCGGCGGCGCGCCGAGAGGGGGGAGGCGAGAGAGGGGGCAGGCCCCTCTCAGAGGCGGGAAGCCCCCGGGGCCTTGCGAGGAGCCCCCGGTGTCTTCGGAGGAGGCTTCCCGGACATCCGGCCGCTCCAGTTTTTCGATGCAGGGGCCCCAAAGGTCTGGACCACTTGCCTAGGGCCGTTTTTGTTCGTCCCGAGTCGCTTTTTGGCGATCCCGAGGCCTGGCGAGGCCCCCCAGAGGCCGAACACAGCCAAAAACCCGCCGCTCCAATGTTGGTTGGAGCGTCCGATCTCTGGGCTTGAGAGCTACTCAGAATACGAGAGGGCTTCCGAGCCTTCTGAGAAGCCCCGCCCCCTCTTCGGCTACGCCCAAGGAGTGGCCCTCGGCAGGGTGGCCAAATCCAAGCGCGCAGGCAGCCACCAGCGCATCGCGCTCAGCGATCGGGCGGGGGGCCAGGTGAGCCCGCACCAAAGGCCACTCCGGCGAAGGGTCACACTCTTGCGTGCTTAGTCGACGTCTGCCTTCCCCCCTGGGCGCGCCGCCGGGCGAGGGGAGGCCGGCGCGTGGGAGAGCGGAGAGTGTAGAATGCGAGGCCGGGACCCATGCGGGAGGTTCGTGCGGCGTCGGCGCGCGCAAAGGCTTTCGACACCGCGTCGGTCGCTCAGCCTTGAGCCGATCGCGGCCAAGATCGTTCGAGGCTGACCCCCACAGACGGATTTTGGACGACAACCGTCAAGAAATATTCCAAGCTGGTCAGAGATAGTCAAAAAATCGTCCCCAGACCATCTTTTTTACTTATGTTGATAAGTCCTCGTGTAGGTCGGGCGTGTCCCCCTACAGGCGGATTTTGGACGACAAATGAAAGCCAGTCCAAAAATATTCCAAACTGGTCAAATATACTCGAAGAATCGTCCCTGGACTATTGCTTGGCTATTCCTCAGCATTCCTCGCGTAGAGGGACAGGCCCGACACTCAACGCTCCATCTTTCCGGCGCCAACCGTACTGTCGGGGCGTTGACCTAAGGAACCCTAAATAAGGAACGAGGCCCCTTGTTCTCATACGTTAAACTTCGATGTCCCATGGAAAACCTCAGGAAGACCTGAGGCAAACTGTTAAACAATCAAGGAACACCGAACCCCTCCCCAACGAAAAGGGTTCCTTCTTCAGCGCCCCGACTGTACGTCGAGCCCCTCCGAGGCAGCCCCCGCCGGCACCCCCGAAGACGCCCCACGAGCGACGCAGAGCCGCGGGCCTTCCCGCGGCGAGAGCCCGCCCCTGGCTGTGGCGGAGGGCCCGCGGGCCTCGCGCGGCGGCATCGCGCGGGCAGCCAGCGCGGCACGCTGCACCGGCAGCGGAGGGGCTTCCAGGCGCGACCCGACCGGCTGCACGCAGGAGTGGCCCCCCGGGCAGGAGCGGCCTTCGGTGCGCGGCCTCTCGGGGACCGCTGGAGGACCAGGCACGAGCGCGCGGGACGCCACCCTCGCGCCGCGCTCGGCGGTCCAGGGGACCCCCAGGCTGTGGGCTCGCCCCAAACGGCCACTCCGGCAGAGGGCCGCTCTGGCGCGCAGCCGGCCTCACGCGGGCAGCTCCCGCGCCAGGGGCCGGTGACGACGAGCCCGCCTGCCCCCGTCGCTCGCGTGCGGCTGTGCCGGCCTGGGCTCTCTCCAACGCCGGCGCCGCGCAGCGCGCGGGGGGGGGGGGGGGCACGGCGGGCGCGCGCGCGCGCACCCGCGCCCTCGCGCCGGCGCAGGGGCGCAGCCGCGCCCTCGCGCCAGCGCTCGGTGCAGGCTACCAGCGCTCCGCGGAGGCCATCTCCGCGGAGTTCCGCTTGGAGCTCACGGCGGGCTCCAGCGCCAGCTGGGTGCCGCGGACGTAGACCGAGCGGGTGACGGCGAACTCGCCTGGGGAGGGGGCGCGGGCGGGGCGGAGGGGCAGCCCCGTCCGGCGGTCCGAGCCCGTAATATAGGCCCCCTCGGTCTCTCTCGTGGGGCGCAGGGGGGCATGCTGGTGCTGTGTGTCCTCCTCGGAGGCGTGTGTCAGACCGGAACACGCGGTGCAACCATCTTGTAGCGCGTCGTTTCCCGAGCGACATGGCCAGAAAGCACCCGCCACCGATCATATGTTAGAAGACTTCTCGGTGCGCGCGTCGCCCCCCAAAGGGCGACGCACACACACACACACACACACACACACACACACACACACAGTATTAGTATGTTGGGGTGACGCCGATCTCTCCCTTCCCCCTCTCCTCCCCCCTCCTACCCCCCCCTCCTCTTCCCCCTCCTCTCTCCTGCCCCCCTCCTTCTGCGCGTGCCCAGGGGCGGGCAGGGAGGTCAGGGAGAGGAGCAGCAGCAGCAGCAGCAGCAGCAGCAGGAGAGCGGAGAGAGCAGGGAGGGCCCACACGCAGAGGCAGAGGGTTGGCTGGGCAGGAGCAGGAGCAAGAGCAGGACGACGACGACGACGACGACGACGACGACGACGACGAGTACCTCATCCCCTGCGATTGACAGATACAGCGCGGGTCCTTGAACGAAAACGGAAAGCATCAATAAATCGCCGACGTCACGTCGGGACTGAGCGGAGTGTCCTGGGGCCGCTTCGAGCCCTCAATACTGCGTGTTGTCCTCCGACCCCCGCATGCCCAGGGGTGCAAAGGCGCGCGAGATGATTGGCCGTCCCCCTCCCCCTTTCCCCCTCCCCTGGGGTCTGAAATCCGATTCAAAAGGGAAGATGCCTGGGGAGGGCCGGGTGGGGCCCCAAAGGGGGGTTTTCCGAGCCTCCGGAGCCTCCATGTATTTCTGCACTCTGTAGCCTCTGAGATGCCTAAGAATCAATCTACGCTTGCTCAAGAAGGATTCCAACACGCACAGGAGCCCTGGAAGACGGCCAAGCTAGCCTCAGACTGCCAAAGAGGCCCGAAAGACGCCCCAAGAGGGCTCCAAGACGACCCCCGAGAGTATCCCATGAAGCAAGAAGCGTCAATCTTTGTTTGGAAACCGATGAATTGAACATGTCAGCATTTGTGGCCTCGTCAGCGCCCAAGACGGCTCAAGGGGCCCCTATGATCGCTCCAATACGGCCCAAGAAGCCCCCCAGAGGGCCCCGAGACGGCTTTAGTGGGTCCCAACACGGCCCTAGAGGCGCCCAAGATGACCCACGAGAGCCCCAACAGGACCCGAAGAGGGGCCCAAGAGAGGCAACTCGAACTGACATTCCGAGCCCTCGGCCCCAAGAGGACCCCCGAGACAGCCAGCAGGCGCCCAAGAAACTCCCGAGCGGCCCGAAGAGACCCCCAAGAGTCCCAAAAGAGGCTCCAAGAGGGTCCTCAGGACGCCCCAAAGAGGCATCACCCGTTGACTTCATCCTTCTTCTGAGGGGCGGCGGAATGGCGAAAGCCTCTTGAATAAACAACTTTCGGACATCGGCCCCCTGACTGGCAGAATTCCTGGGCGTTTCTTGGCGCTCCCAGGGCGTCCCACGCTACTTTCGCAGAGGCCCCGGACCCGTGGTTGGGAGTCCGCGCGTCTCACGTTTCCTAAGGTGATCGCAATGGATAGTTTTAGTGTTCTAGTGGGAGCCTATTGAACCGTCCTGGAGATCTGGACGTCAGCCCAAGAAAAATCCTCGATCATTTCCGGATGTTCGCCCCTTGCCCTCAGAGCGTCCCAGGCGACCCAAGAGGCCCCGAAGACCCCCCAAAAAGGGCCCCCGAAGCTTTCAGAAAAGGCTCAGGAGGCCCCCAAAAGGCTCCCAGGAGGCCCCCAAAAGGATCCCGAGAGTGCCCCAGGAGGCCGTAAAGAGGCCTCCAAGGGCCCCCACAGGCGTCCAAGACGTCACCAGCCCACGCACAGGCACGTCGGCGGGATTTACCGAAACCCATCAGACCCGCCGCCCCCGTCGCCTGCGGAGTGCTTGGCGTGCCGCATACGGTTCTCCAAACAGTGCCTGCACCTCTGGGATCTCACGTCGCTTCTACACGGAACACCCCGGCGTATCTGGCACTTCCATATGAAGCTTCGTTGCAGGAAGCTATGTGTGGCCCTTGTTTCGCATGGCCCAGGGTGGACACAGCCACCTGCACTAGACACGTTTACCACGGGGAGCACCGACTTCTAGATTAAGCTGCAATGCGGGAAGTTCGTTGTGGCCATTGTTTTTTGATGACGGCCGCGCAACTGCATGCTTCAAGCCGTCCCTGATTTACCAACTCCCCCGCTGATCGTTTCTGAATGGGCTGTTGGGGACATTTGTTTTTGGTCGCGTCCGCTAGCGAAGGCGCAGGCGGAGTCAGAAGCGTTCCGGGGCGCGGTAACGGCCTAATTAGCTACTGGAAGCGCCGCAGGCCGGCCGGGCCCACTCACCAGGCAGCTGCTGTGCTGCGCGGGAAGGCAAACAGGCTGGGGGCATCCAGGGAAGCTCGGGCAACGTAGACCCTAGCAAAATGCCAGGAAATTCGGTTTATGCCATGCGGCATGACCCACTCAGAGAGCGCGAAGACGTGTGCGCAGATGCCTACGCGTCTCACACGCCTGGAGCACGCACAGGCGAGGTGAACGATGAACGAGTCGCCAGCGGGGCGCCAGGTCCACGGCTGCACCAAGGCGTAAGCAAGCTGATGGGGCTAGCTGTTGGGGACACCTTGTTTTTACAGCCGCAGGCGGAAGCGCCAGCGGCGGGCGGTCGCGGTCGGGCTGCGGCCGCGACTAACGGCGGGCGCGCGCGAGGCCGCGGTCAGGCGGCAGGCAGCAGCGACCCAGGGCGTCTGAGCCAAGGATTCTGCAGGGCAGCCCCAGAACGAGACATGCAACGGCGCATCCAGGGAGTCTGAACACAGGCACCGAGGAAGCCGAGCGCAGCCAAAATGGCGCGTAAGGCGCTCCCAACAGTTCGAATACGAACAAGTGGGAACGGTCCCGAAGACGTCTATCCAGGGAGTCTGACGGGTAGCACAGACTGACTGGCGACACAGTCCAGCGGGGAAACCTGACGGCGGATCAGAACATCGCGACGTCAGAACACGCATCCAGGGTGTGGAAACAGAGTAGCCAGATAGAACCTTCCACAACTGAGATGCGTCAGGCCCTTGGTCCAGCGACTGGTAAGGGCGCAGCAGAATGCACGAAGCCACACGGTAGGAACACGCAGCCGAAAGTGCACACCCAAAGTGTCTCAGAGCCACCCATAAACGTGTCAGGTAGCACCCGAGGGACGGGACCGTCGTATACCCAAAACGCGTCCCTCAGAGTCACTTCGTTCCAGGGTCACGGCTGAAGGCCGTTGAACGGTTAAGAAGTCCAGGGAGTGAGTCTATGGACAGGCGGTGCCAGAGTCCACAGACGCGGGCCAGGTCGCGCCTGGCGGGTGAAAGATCTACAGTAAGGCCGGAGGCCACGGGTCCACTAGCTGGGGTGGCTGTGGACGGTATTACCGAAGAGCACACCTGAATCCAAAGGCAGGAGGTGCGCGCGTCGGGGGGAGGGCGGCAGAACGCCGCAATTGAACGGGGCCCGCAGCGCGGCTCAAGGCTGCGCCAGACGGTATTCCAGGGTGCGAAACACAGTCAGAGAGGACAACGCGAGCCCTGCGGCTAGGATGCAGCGGCCACAGGTAAGAGTAAGGGCAGCGGGGCCAGGGGCCAGCTGGGGTCTGCAGGCTGCGCACTGCCACGCAAAGTGCAGATGGTATTACTGAGCGGCACACCATGGTCCAAAGGTAGGAAGAGTGCCGTCCAGGGGGGGGGGCAGTCGGGCTGCCCCACAGCTGGAAAGAAAGAAAGCGGCGGAGGGCCGCAATCAGTGCGCAGTGAGGTTGTCGCGGTGGCGCAAGGCGCTGGGAGCGGGGAGTGAGCTCAGTCCCTCCATCGGAGCCTCTTTTCGTCTCTATCGTCCCGATCGTCGGGGCGGCCTCCGCCGCGTTTGCCGCCCGTCTGCCAGCGATCTTCGCGCCATCCATCACTCCACTCGCCCTGCCAGCTGCCCCAGGTGTCCCAGGAGCTTGTCGCGCGGTCACGCCAGCCGGTCTGGTGGTAGCTGCCTTTGCCACTGTCGTCGGTACGGGAGTGTCGCAGGTAGTTGGCTCGTAGCCTGTCCCAGTCAATGCCGTAGTCCAGCCTCGTGTTCATCTGGTAGGCGTCATACCCGCAGTCCTTCCAGTCATCAAGAAACTTATTGATGGACGTGGCCGCGTGCAATTTCGGGTCGGATTTGGGCGCCCTGGATCCAGGGAGCCAAATTCGCTGCGTGCGCGCTGTCCACAGCGCGCAGAAGACTGCGCCCAACTCCGACTGAAGCCTGGCCATGCGTCTGGCAGGTGTCTCGCTGGGACGTTCGAGGCCCACCGTGCCCAGCCAGACTTTGTACATGGGGCCGCCCCCCTCCGGACAGGTCAACCGGTTGAGTGCATCCTGCTCCGATGTGCCAGTATGGCGAGGGTGATAGCGCCTCTGTCCAGGGAGCTGCGGGGTGGGCGCGGGAGAGCTCTCGGTCCGCGAGCCACCTCGGTCGCGGGCTCTCTCGTCCCCCGCGGGCCCCCGGGCTGGATCGCTACTGTGGTCGGCGTAGGGCGCTTCCTCCCCGGCCGAGGTCGGGGCATCCTCGCGGCTGGAGTCAGAGCTGTCCGCCGATGGGCTTTGCTGAGGCGCCTCGTCGCCCGGGCGATTATCATCGTCGTCCGAGGCCGAGTCCGAGCAAGTAAAAGGAGGAGGGGGCCCGCCTTCTCCGAAGTCGGGAGACTCCACCTTTGTAGGGGGGATCCCGTCTTCCACGCTCTCGTCGTTGCCGTTGTGGTCGGGCGGGCCCTGGTGGCCCATACGAGAGTCGTTGTCCATCGCGCCCTGGGACTTGTCTGCGTCGGCAGCCATGGGAGTGTCTGGTCTGTCGTCGCTCATGGTCAACACGCC